ACCTGAGGATATACTAGAGAATACCAGAGATTGCGAATTTGATTAGGATCTTCATTAATATCTTTCTCCATTATTAAAAATCTTGCAAAAACTCCTACCTCAAGGATGCGCATGCACAAAGCCTATACTGTTGTGTAAACAACGTCATGTAGACGTGCTTTCGGTCTAAACTCCAAAAATAATGACTGGACACACTGTATGTGACAATAATTAACTTATTAAGTGTAAATCGGGGGATATTATTTACGAATAAGTTGGTTTATTTTACTTGAATATGTGTCTCAGTGTCTATTTTTCTTTTTAGTATTGTTTGTGATTGAGTGTCATTTTCTTGATTAAATTTTATCGCTATCGTAATCACTCAATTTAGTTAACATGATGTAGGCACATCTGGTCGTTTGTGATAAGAAGTTTTGTCCTGATTTCGAGTAGGTGGATGCCAAAACCGGAAGAAGCGATGAAACTAATAAGGTCAATAGTGTAGAAGATATGAGCCAAGAAAAACAGAAGGATTTGTAGTTTACTGATAATGGGGATGAACCAATGGTACGTATAGAAGAGAAACCGAAGTAGAAGATGAGACGTTGAAGATAAAGATATTGAAGTTAAAGAAGAAGCAGTCGAGCCTATACAAGACGACGTTGAAGTACAAGTTGAAGAAGTTGTCAAAGCTCAAGTTAAGCAGCTAGAGATTGCAATACAGAAAGAAGAAGTAAAAAGAGAAATCGAGATTAAAGAAGTTATCTGTTTATAGGCAAGAAGAAGTCGAAATTTATAAAGGAGGAGAGATTCGAATTGAAGTACACGAAATATAAGATAAAGGGGTTTTAGTAGAGAAAAAGGTTGAGTTATTTAGTTGTTTTATTGCAATAATTTTAAGGGGTCCGGGGGTTGAAGTTAAGATTGCATTTTTTGAATTATAGAAAATTTGTAATTCTAGATGATTCTCGGGATTTGACAAGTAATTTTGTAAATTGCAGAATGTATAATAATAATAATAATAATAATCATCTTTATTTAGGATAAGGAAAAGCCACAAGGGCCATTTATCCCTCCTCTACAAGCTTAATCATATAAATGTAGTTAAAGTTCATTAAATAGTAAGTACATAAGAATATAGATAAGTAGATAACATCAAAGAGAAAGAGTATATATACATTGATTGCAGTGGTATGAGTTAACTTTAGCCTACAGCGTTCATCAGGAAGTTGTGGCATTGCTGAATGAAAAGTTTTCTGGCAGTGATGTCACGAATGCTCGGCGGTAAGGTATTCCATAGGCTTGCGGCTAGCACTTGAAATGAAGTAGAGCCTATCTGAGTGTTCGTTTTAGGTAGAAACAAGTCACTGGTACGTGTGTTATACGAGTGAAAACTTTGTAGGGATTTGAACAAGTCACGTAGGTATAATGGTGCACTGTTTGTTTTGATTACTTTATGCAACAGACAAAGTGTGTTATGTACACGGGTTTTCTTCATGTCTAGCATATTTAGACTGCGTAGCATAGGTTGTATGCGATCAAACTTGTGTAAGCCACATGCATAACGTAAGCAATAATTTTGGACCTTTTGTAATTTGTAAGATAGCTTCCCGTTAAGACCATGGTAACATACATCTCCATAGGTGATTAGTGGTAAAACTAATTGTTTAACTAGATTGAGTTTAATATTTTGGCTTAAGAGATTTTTAGATCTGTATAGCGTTTTTAACTTGTAATACGATTTGGTACATACATAGTTGGCGTGCACTTCCCAGTTCAGATTTTGATCAATATGCAGTCCCAAGATTTTGGCGGATGTGGCAAACTCTATACAGTTTCCGTCGACTTCTACTTTTTGAGATGTTGACAAGTGAAATTTATGTAAATCTGTCGTGGTGCCAACGGCCATAACAACAGTTTTGTTGGAGTTGAGATGTAAGTTGTTCACGGCTGCCCACTTAGAAATTGTGTGTAGATCTTCATTTAGATTACTCATATGCGTATTTGAGTTGCTACTGTTGATCGTCATTAGCAACTGGATGTATGTATCGTTGCAGTTTGATCTTACAAGATTACTACTTTGAAATCAAGTACCTAAAGGGTCAAAATAATTTAATAGCAAATGATTTATCGAGGAAAGAAATATGGGGAAAGGAGTTGGTAAAAGATTATGAAATTTTAGGTAGCCGAATGAAGAAGAATTTTGATTGCAAAAGAGATTTAGGAGTACAAGCAATGATAAACATTTGTGTAGTTTAAGAAAGGATTATAATTTTGGCAATCAGAATGAAATTATATCTGTTAGGACTAGTGAGCCTCTACAAATTGCAACAATTAATTATTTAAGTGATTTAGTTAAAGATAGATAGATAGTAAACTACTTAACGTTTAGGATTTTTCCAGAAAGACCCCGAGTAAAGCTAGATAAAGAGGTAGAAAGATTAAAACAGGAATAGAAAGAGGTTAGGAAAAAGATTACGGATTATAGGGTTTTATCTTGGCAGTAGACTAGGGAGTTGATTTTAGATCATCGTGTCCGGACGTTGAAAGTAGATCTTGGCCTATTTAAGGGAGATCAGTTGGTAAATTGTTCAAAAATTTATAATTCCAATGTTTTTAGTTTTTCTTTAAAGGGAGGTGGATGTAATTTTGATTTTGTGTTCAATTTAAGAGGGGAAATGTGTAAACAACGTGATGTAGACGTTCTTTTGGTTTAAATATCAAATTAATGACGGGACACCCTGTATGTGACAATATTTTAATTTATTAAATGTAAATCGGAGGGATTATTTACGAATAACCACAAAGTTGGTTCAGTTCACTTGGATTTGTTGTGTCTCAGGGTCTATTTCTCCTTTTATAATTATTTGATTGCATGCTATTTTCATGTTTTATCGCTATTTTAATGCATTCAATTTGGTTAAGATGCTTTAATGTAGGCCCATCTGGTCGTTCGCGATAAGAAGTTTTGTTACCGGACGAGATTTAATTAGCGCTTATCGATGTTAGAAGAGGTAAGGTGTTTCGAATAATTGTGCGATATTTTCGGCGCAAATAGGCACGCGCGATTCATTTTGTCGAAGCTGGCGTTTATCAAGTCAAATTTTGATTGGCGGTGTTATTAAAGGTTTTTTGAGGAGAGAATTTATTGTATTATGGAAGTGGTGTTATTTTAAGTATTGGAATCCACTAAAAAACGAGTTTAGCTGTTTCGCGACTGTTGGAAAGCGTGTACGTTTCTTTACGCCCTTTATTTCATTCGGGTTTACCGCCCGATTCGATTAATTGAATATCTCGTTGAATATGTAATGCCATTGTTATAATAATTTTTGTAGAAGCAAGATAAGTAAAGTTGTTGAAAAGTTTAAGGCGGTTTGTGTGTTTTATGGAAAAAGGTTGTCAAGTTTGAAAGAGCAAGTGAGACCTTCTGTTAACGTTCTCTTGTTATTAAAAGTTAATAGTTTGTACGGTCTGAACAGCCTTTGGCATCGGATTTGTGTGTTAAAGAAAAATAAAGTTAAGAATCTGTACGACTAGATTATTAGAATGATTAAAGGAGACAGTAATTTTAAAATTTTCTTATTTTATTTGTCGAGCGCCTGCGTGTGGAGTAATTTGTTTTAGGAATTTTGTTTAAATTTTTCATTTCATGTGTTTCAAAATAAATGTTTGTCATTGTCAATCAATTGATAGTGCATTTGTTCGAATCCCTTGTGCGATTCGGATAGAGTTTTCATATCAGATTTTTCTCCTCGTGTCCAAGAATTGTGTCAGGTGTTACTGAAAATTTGGGTAATTGTGGAATTTTCGCAAATTGATCAAATCTCCGAAATCATTAATTTAGGCCAACATTGGGATTTTTCTTTGTATCAGATGGCGGAAGTATACGAGGGAAAATTATGAAGTTTAAGTTTCAATTTTGATTGTTTTGGGCTAGCTGGACAGGCGTTTTGTGGGTGATGTAGTTGACCGATCGCCATTGCACACAGCAACACCTACAACATATTTTATTTGTGTATGAAATGGGCTTTCCTATTTCATACGAAGGGTTGAACCTCCTTGCTTTGAGAAAAATAGATCTTGTAAATTTGATTTTCTGAATTGCTTGTTCGAGATAAACTTTTTCATATATTCATTCAAAAAAATAAAAAAAAAGTTGCAATGCCAAAGTACATTGCCATATTAACAAACTTTCTAATCTTGATATGCTCTCTAAATGCTCTTTGCCGGATACATATTGGTGCGTTGTCATTGCAATGACATTTTTTGAATGTATTTTAATATATGTATTAGTTTGTTGTGTTGAGCGAGCATAAATCTTTTAATCATGGGTTTTCTATACTTCCAAACATTTTCTATGTTAGCAAAATAGGTACATAGATCATGAAACTTTTTCTTGTTTTTCTTTAACTACCTCCTTTGTTACACGACAGTTTAATTCATGTTACGGAAATTGCACATTTTACAGCGAATATCTTAGACAATATTTTTCCTCTTAGATAAAAATTACGACACCCTCAGTTAATTCGTCTGAAGGACTAATAGATTTGAATGTCACATTTGCGTAACTGGGATGTGAACCCCCAAAAAAGCATTTCCTCCAAATATATCGCTATCTGGCACCCGTTTCCTTCAGCAACTGCACCCAAAATTGGCCTTCTTTCATTAGTCCTTTTGTTATCAACTACAAGTCACAGAAGAAAAGAACTAACGGCTTTATCTAGATTTTCCATTTCATTTAAATGCGTGCTTCCTCGCACATTTTGTGAAAATGTTTGTAAAATTTATATTTCAAGGTGGCGGATTGACAACATAAGAGTCTTAAGTTCACTGCTAGCATACATATAAGATATACACCGGATTGGCTGTATATTTCAATTTAAAATTTATATTCTTGTCCCCTAAACATCCATATTCAGGTCTAAAGCGTATATTTAAAGAAAATATAACCTTTCAAGATATATGTGCGTGTGTACCACTATACCCACTATATATTATAAAAAGAAATGAAATATACTTACTGGCTTTAATACTCGAACGATAAAATACGTTTTTAATCCGGCTATCCTTAAACTTTCTTCCCTTTTTTCCCCATACGCTGGTTCGACTTCAAATTCTCCATTCAGGAACGAATAAGTTGTCGCCGATATATGTACTCTCCTGAACGAATACGAATAAGCAATTTTGATAAGCTTGCACATAGATTTTTACGTGCATTAACATACCAGCCACGTTCTATACTACTTGACCCTTTAAAGCAAATTTACCGTCTCGTGTCGATGTTTTTAATCGTGTCTTTTAATTACAGCATGCATTTAAATGAAAACTCATTTATTTTACCCGGCCATTCCACTGCTTTCCATTTTGTTTGCTAATTCGACATCTTTCGAATACACGTCAAATTGCCATTGTCTCTGACCTAAAACTCCCGCCAGCACTGCACCTGTGTGAATTCCCACTCGCATGTCTACTGGTGAATTTGTTTTTTGTTGAACGTATCTGAAACAATGAAAACTGTATCAATGCGTGTCGATTAATATACAAATTGTAATTCTGGATTCAATTTGTTGTAGGTACCTACCCCTAATCCACTCGCATAATTTTTGTATTCGAAGCACGTTCCCTAATTCTAAGGAGGTAGGCGCAAAAACCTAAGGATCATCTTTTTAGCATATTACAATCTACCCCACTTTGTTTCTGCACGGCTAGTAGATTTTTAAAACTAAAATGATCCCAATTTTTATCTGGGGGTGTTGCAATGTTGCCTAAGCTGCATTGCTATAAACACTTACACATAACGGTAGAAACGAGTTAATTCATAACTAGATAATTGCCCCATCCTCACTGCAATTAGAAAAGGGGCGTCGATAATTATTTAGGATATTATCGTCGCGAAAGGAGGCAATTAACTCATTTTGACAAAAACGCTTTTAAATTGCCTTCCGTTTACATATTTCATCCGCCTTATAAATTATGCAGTGAACTATTTCCGAAGCGTTCATAGTAGTCGGTCTGACCGTATAAAACAGACTAGCACACCGGATGACAGAAAATCGATGCTGAACGAACGAACTGCTGAAAATCATTTGCAGACAATTTAATTTTCCGACGATTACGAAATAGCCCGCATTCGGGTCTAGTAGAAAAGTCGGTGAATAGGAACAAAAGAAGTTTATTTTCTTGAAAGAGAATTGGAAGTTTCCTCGCTTTTAATCATAATTATTGGGTTACTTACTAAACGATTAAAATTTCATGTAAGAGACAAATTCATCCATCATCTTCAGCTAATTATGTTATTAATATTACGAGTATGTTAATACTATTAACGACTAAAAGATCTCAAGATATTCGCATGCTTTCCCCAATCCTCCTTAAATTACTTTTACGCCCATTTCTCAATTTGTTATAAGTTCATCGCAAGCATATAACATTCTTTGTTAGTTCTAGTGAGGTGGTCATCAAATTTTCTGTACCTTCCCTTCTATCAATTATGTAAAATTCCTTTCAAGTAATCTTCCAGTTCTCAAATTCCCTTCATGTAAGCTACTCATCAGTTATCAAACTCCCCTCACTGCCCCTCGCCCTTCACGTCAAGTTCTTCTCCAGTTCAATTATCAGTCAGTCGGTCCTTCTTGAACACACTGATCAAAAATTGGTTACCGTGTTCAGGACGTGCACATGTTAAAAGAGAAGGACTTCAAAATATTAGACAAACCCCTGAATTCACATGAACGGGCAATCCCTTGATACATTTACCATCTTGAACCCTCCTTCAACACGCACATGCATACATGGTCGTAGATAAGAGTTGCAAAATTAAACAATCAAAACAAATTAAAGAAGATGATGATTAAAAATGGCCTTTTTCAGTAATAAAGCGCCATTTTGGGGCGTTACTTAACTAGAAGAGCAAGTAAGTGTGCATCAGAGAAGGGTAAAGTAGATTAATTCGTTTTTGAGGAATTCTTCGAGTAACCACCGAGCGGAGAGAAGTTTTTCTGCGGGATGCCAAGATGACTTGTGCGCCATACGTGTGTGTGAATTGACCAAAATTCGTTAGATCGAACGGCCGTAAAACAAATAATGTCATTGATAAAATTTCGTGCATAGAAAACATCCCTTTCATATCAAAAGAGGAACGAGTTGGGTTAAGGCGATAAAATGTTCTAATAATAAACTGTTGCGAAGTTTCACAAACATTTTTGTAATAGTCGTATTTTCTAAAGTACATATAAAAATGATTACTGGTTGAGCATCACTGTAATTTTTGTTCGAGGACCACTGTATGTCGTGTTTAGTAGTGACCAATTATAATTGGTGGATTCTAAAAGGAGTGTGAATTGCGCGTTTTTAAATGTAATCATATTTTTTCAATTTAACCTATTGTTCATGGACTCGAATTGGTTTTGGATCGAGTTTCTAAACTTTTTCTCCCATTTTGGAGGCTTTAAATAGGATTTATTCAATACGTAACTGGCCGTCATTTGTTAACTTGATTATTATTTCGTGTATCCTTTTTAGGAAGTGTTTTCGCTTTACGTATAGGGATTTTGAACCAAATCAAACTTGGCCGTAATGACGTTATTTTCTAATGGATGTATGTTAATTTTTGTGTTTTCGATGGGAAGTTACATGTGATGCCTTACAGGGCTCTAAGTCCTAGTGTGAGTTTCAATCGTAGTCCCAAGGTCTAATTTGCAAGTCTACATTCACGTTCAATTGTGAATTCCAGTTTTAATTGACCATGACATCTGTCGAGCTATATAAATTTAGTCGTGAGCACAACGCCAGCACCTTATCGGTGCCGTCCTTAGGGTGGAGCGAGTGGAGCGCCCACTCCAGGCCTCGCGCTGAAAAAGGCATTACTCTCACTAAAACATAAGTGAATGTTTTGGTTGAATGAAAATAATATAATAGGTATAACTTTTTTATTTTTTTATCCCTTTCTTGTTCTGGGCCCTCAACTGGCTTGCGCCCAATTACAGGGTGACCCGCATAATGCTTTTTAGTACAGATATACGTACGTACCTAAAATATCTGTCTGATTACCCGCCCAATATGTTCAATTATTAATTAATTTAAAAAACCTACGAACGAGGTTCTCATTCATAACCCCCCCCCCCCAATCATTGTTCCACCTTCTGCAGAGGCACCTCTAAATAGCATGCGAGTCACTCTGTAATTGGGCGCATGCCTGTTAAGGGCCCAAAACAAGAGAGGGATAATAATAAATAAATAATTGTTAACAAAGACCCCGCAACAATGTTTCGATCCAGACCTCACATTTGCTAAGGACGGCTCTGCACCTTAACCTACAGACAGTGCTTGGAGCGAATATAACCAACTTTCATTGTCGGTACGTTTTTGCTCATCAGTTTGCACTTTGGGAATTGTGATTTGATAACTTAATATAATGGATCGCGATCGATATCGCGCAAATGTTGGAGGTGGTTTCAGTGCATCGGGGTGGAAATATTGGTCTGTTGCGTTAACCCCAGGAGACCCCCGCAACCGATTCGTAAGACAGTGGATTATTCTTTCTTCAAGAATGGAAGGTGCAAAGAACTACAAGTACAGTCATCAAGTTTACGCTATAGAACAAAAGTTACCTGGTACTGCGTCTCCGCTGGTTTTAAGAGGGGCCACCCTGTACCGAACATTGCAGAAATCCCAATAGACAGCGAGGCGGCATGAAAGATTAGTCATCAGCGATAAAGAAGGAAGGCGGATGTGACGCCATCTTTCCGGCAAATATGACGTGTTTGCTCGAGAACATTCTAAAATACTCGGAACCGTTCGGAAGCGCTCGTAAACTTTCGAGAAAGAAGGGCGTTTAATATAAAAGCAAATCGCGTTTCAGCACAGTTCCGATTCCAACGCCGAAGTAGCAAATAGTTCGCGCTGTTATAAATTGTGTGTATGTGAGTAATATTTCAAGTATTATGCAGCATGGTTAAATTTGGAATATCTGGCATTATTGTTGTATTTGTGGGAAACAATTATTATTTATTGGAGATAATTAACTGGAATAAACCAGTATTTCTTTCGTTAATTTGAAATGTTACTTTCCTTGCATTTTCCTAGTTTTTATGCAGGGAGAATTTAATTAACTGGGCGGCGCTCAGCTAATGGTAAGTTGTGAAGATGTATCGAAAATTGTTTGTCAAAAAAAAATGAACCGCTGCGGAAGATCTCAAGACTTATTTTACAACCCTGAGCTACCTGCCCATTTATGCGGTGGGTTCGAGGGAAAGCAGACCTAGTCTAACGCTCCTGTTATACCACGTTAGAAATAGGAAAAATCTGACATCGATTCGGAACATTGTAACAATTAGGTTAGTTCACTACCTACCACTGTAGAAAAAAAAATGGAAAATATCTGCACAAATCAAGACCGGACAGAAATATCGAGAGAGTATTGGAAAAAATACTTAACGGCAAAAAAAAGAAGAAATTCAAGCATCGCAGATGAGGAATAGGAAAACACCTAGGAACAATATGATAACCGCAGATAATCAAGGATGCATACTGTTGTAACGGACGTAACTGTTATTTGATTTAAAATTAATCACTTTTTACTCTCCACATTGTATATATAAGAACCTTCTATTTTTATCATGTGATTATATTAAGTCAGAGGAGGCGAAGTTGTGCCGTGCGCGGAAGCGAGAGAATGGTATCAACGCTGGTGGCGTTCATATCGCGCGTTGATTTGAGCGGTGAAAATTATGTTCAGGGGACAATTGATAAGGTGGAGATAGTTAAAGGGCGCGGGTGTAGGTTCCAACAGTAAAGTATCAAATTTACTCGGTGATAAAGTAATAATATTAAAAGTTAAAATAACGCTGCGGGAAATTGAATTTAACCTCCCTTATAAATGCCGATATATAACATCGTAAATAATTTGCGGCGGAATAAAACAGAACCGCCTATTGCAAGTGAACAAATGGCGGGGATAAGCTAAGTGTACAAATTGAATGAATTTCACCATAATTTCCATTTATTAATGGTCGCCTAAATCATCAACGTATTGTTTCAAAATTGATAACGTGTTGCTTTTCTTTTGCTTGCGGTTTGTTTATAAATAAGGCCTGGGACTATTTGGCCGAAAATCTAGAAGTTTTGGTTTTGGTGGACGCTTCAGAATCATACACAAGTCTATTTATAAGAGGTGAGCGGTATATCGAGCCACGAACTAAATCCCCAGACATCAACAACCGGCACCTCAAATTCAAAGGCGATAAGGTGCAGAATTGTAGCTTTATTATTTCCGTTTTATGCCAATTATTGCGTATATTTTCCTGCTTCTTAATGAACGTTTATTTAATTATTTGGATTCGCATGTTTAGACTTTCTTGCTACATTGTTTGCTAGAATAAATTTAATTATCTGGCTATTTTTTGAGTTTGGTTAGGGATTCGGTTTGTGCACTTCAAGAGTGATTGTGAGATTTTGTTTAATCATAATAAATGTAGGTATACGCCAATATTGAAGTAGAG